CTTACCTGTTCCTCTAGCCACAGGTCACACCACCATTTCTGGAATTGGGCGTTAAGCCCCAGGAGACTTAGGATGACCCCTCAAACACCGTACCACACTTAGGGTCATCATCCTCCCAGAGTGCATTAGAACTTTGCAGACCCCATGGTGGCCCAGGAATGCTAGCAGGGAGATGTTGTATCAATTATACAACAAGGGAGTTTGTGAGAAGGAGGGGACCAGGGCCCAGGACCCAGCGAGTTGGGAGTCCTTAAAGAATGTCCCAGATCCTGGGACACTAGCAGATCTGTGGCCTGGAGCCTGGTGTTCATTAGAAAAGAATGTGGGCCGGAGCTCCTACTGCCTGGCCTCATGAACGCTGGGAATACAAATGAAGCTCGTTTAATATCCTATTTTGTTGTGCATGTGTGTGTGTATCTACATGTGTGTATAGTGACACAGAGGACAAGAGCAATCAGGGAAGAGAATTTACCTGAACGAGAGTCAGGGATTCATCGACATTACCTGAAATTAGCCACCTCCTGAGAGGATTCCAGAAGCATGTTTTGCAGAATGAAACAGGGACCCATTTGCTAATAAATTCAAAGCCATTTCTGAAATGTTACCCAGACACAGATAACGAGATGGGAAAACAAGCTCCAATCATAAGAGCTTCATTTTTAAAATGGATGTAAACAACAGAACCAGACCAGCCAGAGAGGGCCATGTTCTAGAAAAAGCCACTGCCTCACCAAAATGGTCTAGGAAGGGCTCTGGACAGTGGGCCAGGACCTTAGGGCAAAAGCCTGAGTCTCTCTCTCTCTCTCTCTCTCTCTCTCTCTCTCTCTTTCCCTCCCTCCCCTTCCTTCCTCCCTCCCTCTCCCCATTTAACACTTTGGCAGAAAACTCCCTTAAGATAATCCACCCCTTTGCACTGCCCTCCATATACACTGAGCAGGCCTTGGTCCACAGGTGGTCTCCCTGTTATTCTGCCCACCTGGAAAAGCCCACACTCCTCCTAAGAGATCCTGCTGTGTTATTTCTATGATTCCAAATCACTAGATGTTAAGAAGAAAGTCTACAAAACTCACTCACCAAAAAGTGGGACCTGACTGAGAATCTCAGCCTTTTCTTCTTTGCCCAACCCCCCTTTTTTTGGTCTGGGTGCCAGGAAGCTCAGAGACAAGCTGACCCTCATGGGGGAGCCATGCTGACTGTTCGTAGATGTGAATGTTCGGTCTCATCATCTAATCTTGATTCACCCTCCTTCAGATGTGTCGTTTATTTATTTTATTTGGTTGTCTGAATTTTTAAAAAAATCTGAGAATAGGTTTAAAAAAGGAAGTTTCTTAACCTCTACTGAGGTCAATGTCTTGGCTTGGAGGTGAAGACCAGTAGCCAAGTTGCCTGAGAAGAGGGGCGCCTCCCGCGCCAGAACCAGGCGGCCAGTGGGGACAAAGGTTTCTGTGTGCGGCTCCATTGGCCAGAGCCTGGGAAAGCAGTGTGGCTTAGCCAAAGGGGCAGGAGTCAAGGGAGGCCATGACACAGAAGGGGCCTCTTCCTCCCTGGCCTCTGGGACTGGGTTTTAGGCCCATGGTTGGGGGCCAGAATCCATCAGATCCTCTTCACAGGAGAACTGAGCCTCAGTACCCCCTCCTCCCAGCAGACCTTCCTGTGACCACCCACAGTCCCAGGACTGGGGCCATTGTGAAGCTTGCGTCTTCCAGCTGTTGACAGTGTTGAATATTGGCCTGACTGAATCCTCAACAACTCCCACAGGGAAACAAATCATCTTAGTGTTTCTAGTGAGCAATCACATTGTCTGCAGACTAATTCTGTCTCCCTTGCTAAGAGCAATACTTCTTCAGTCTGTTTCCTGCCCTCTTGCTGGGCCTCAACTCAAGGGTTTTAATGGCATGAGGAAAAGGACGATGGGTATGTAGCTGGGGATGCAGATTAGCTCAAGGTTGGCTCCTGGTTGGAAGCTAGGGAAAATGCCAAGATAAAGGACAGAGGTAAAGCCTGTGGGTGAAGGACTGCAGCCCTCCGTCCAACAGTCCTCAGGGGATGAACCCTGCCCCCTGCCCCAGCACCCAGCACAGGAGTGTGCACAGAAGCCCCCAGACCCCCTGCCCACACCTGGGAGACCCTAACACCCTGAACTCCTGAGCCCTGGAGTAATTGTCCCTGTGACACAGGTGTGGGGTGGCCTGAGCAGCAGAAGTCAGGGGAATTTGTGAGGCAGCAAAGAACAAGAAGGCACCTGTCAGGTCCTGCCTAAGGGAAGCCCAGCAGTCACTCGAGTGTGTAGTTCTGCCCTTTGCTGTCAGAGAGTTCTCTCAGGCCAGAGTTACTGTAGAAGATAGGGCCAGTTCAACTATTGAAACACATATATCCCGGGAGAAAAAGAGAGATGGCCCTGTCTTTCTGTGTTGGCTGAGATCTCTGCGTAGTATTCCCTGAGAAGCTGAGCCATGATCAGAGCTCATGAGCTTAGCTGGGTTGTCGGATTTTGCACTTCGGACCTGAACCACAACTCTGCAAAAAGAACATTTTTCTTTTAAGATTTTTATTGGGGAATTGGGGGATGGGAACAGCGCTGGGGAATTGGGGGAAGGGGAACAGACAAGTTGCTGTCCTTTTGTTCTTCAGTCTAGTTGTGAAGGACGTTGCTCCACCGGCCCAAGTTGGGACCATCATTGCGCTCTTCCCGGGGTCGAGGCAGATAAGTCAACGGCTACTGGACGGCCGCTCACTGCAGCTGCTGGCCGCTCACACTGGCTGCTGGCTACATACGGTAGCCCATGGCAACCCACTGCCACAGGGACTGCAGCCCATGGCGTCGCTGGCGACTCATGGCAGCCTAGCTCCAGGTTGAGCTGTTGTTCAGCATCTTAGCTGTGGAGGGCAGTGTCACTGGCCCTCACATGTGGGATCCGAACTGGGGCCCTCTGGCGTCTCAAGCCAGTTCTTAACCATTGCGCCACTCGGCCGGCCCAAGAACATTGTTTTTTAAACTTTTGCAAACCAGACTTAGCCTTGGTGGTCTGACAACTCTATTATTTATTGTTTTTATTTAACTGTGATATTTTCATTCCCAAACAATACTAGTTCATTGGAGGAAAAGACATTACCTGTAATAAACAAAAGAAATAAAATGTCTCGATTTATTTACATATATATGCACACTCGCACACATGTGCTCACACAGGCCCACGTGATTTCTAACCTTGCTTCTTATTAATATTTTCTGAACATAGATATTTACCTTCATAGCCATAACAGTAATTGAAAACTGTGTATATTTTTATCATAATTTACATAACCCATTGCCGAGTTTGGACTCAGCTTGCATCTATCATTTTCTAAATTACAGATAATTTGATGAGAAATGACCAATGCTCTGATTTATAAAAACATCAATTTTATAAGAAGATAAAGGGCTTTGAGCTAAGATAAAATTCAGTGTGCACCAACTTTTCAAAGTGTAGGATGTTCCAGAAAGGGATGGGTGAGTCTAGCTCACAAAGCCTGGGCTGGCGGAGCCAGACACCTCTGGGCAGAGGTGCACAGAGCTTGGCTTCTCTCCTGTCCTGGGAGAGAGCAGGCCACCTGCCTGCCGTGGTCACAACGTCCAGTGTCCTTTCCAGCACCGCAGGCCCTGCTGGGGCAGTTGCTCTCAGGCTTTGCACTCATCAGGACAGCTGGAAGCTGGTTAAAAATACCTATTCCCTGGCAGCACTCCCAGAAGCTGGACTTCTGGTGGGCCAGGAAAAGCGGGCCAGGTGACTGGGATGATCATGGGGATTCTGCTAACAGCAGAAATCAGACCTCCAGCCTTGTCCACAGTAGGCACTTTTTGGTCTTTTACAATAAATTGGGATGCTCAGAGATGAACGGGAGGATGAGGCAGAGCGTGCATGCCCGAGCATCCAACCCACCTGTGCGCCCCACCTTCCGTCTGGGTGGCCCTACAGCGAAGAGCTTGTTTGTGTTGTTATCACAGGCTTCTCTGGGTTGACAGAAGAAGCCTTTCTTAGGCTCTTTACCCCTTTGTATCTATCTACTCAAACGTTTCTTGCGCATGTAGTAGGCCTGGGTGCTGTACCATCCCTACAGTGAAGTGCGGATGGATGGGGCCGCTTATGAAACTCTTTTTGGGGGTAACTGCACCCCCAGCACAGTGCCTCCTGAGACCACGCCGAGGGAATCCATCTGCGTATCTGCAGCAGGTAACTGGCAGGAGGTTAAGCTCTGTAAAGAGTTAGCGTGTTCGTCAATTACCCCCACACTGCATGTGCTTTCTGTCTGCACCTCCCAGTAGGACGCCGCAGGAGCTAGGCTTCCTTAGGTAAGAACTTGGGTCTTATCTCCCCCACCAGCCTTTCCTGCCTTTCTCAACCCCATCCCATGCTTGGCGCCCAGGCTGGGCGCAGGATGTCGCTAGAGTCTCCTCTAAGGTCACGTTTCTTCTCCTGTCCCCGTGAGGGCGGGGACAGGAGACTGGGCTTCAACGTCGCCAGCAGCGACGCCCACGTTTGCCTATTAACTCCAGCACCCGCTTCGAGTCCTTCCTCAGGGCCTCGGGGCTAAAGGGAAACCTGGGGCGGCGGGAGGAACCGTTGGGGCGCCCGCAGCTCCGAGCGCCACCCGGGGAGGAATCCCGCTGGAAGCTGGGTGCGCGCTACTGCTGTGGTTCGGTGTCCCAACCGCCGGGGGCCTGGCGTCCCCTCCTGCCGCTGGAATGCGGTGCTCCTCACCCACCTGCAGCGATTCCCGCCCTCCGGGTGATGCTCTCCCCCATCTACGATGCTCCTCCCACCTACAGTGTTTCCTTGACCCCGCGGTGCTCCCCCCTCGTAATGCGCCCCCCGCTGCTTTTCCCATACGCGATGCTCCTGCACCTGCGATGCGGCCAATCAGCCGCGCGCCCCACCAAGTGACGCTCCCCAGCCCGCGGCGCCCCGCCCGCAACCCAGGTCTTGCGCGCCCGCCCCTGGCCGCCAATTGGCGCGCCCTGAGCAGGCGGGGCGAGCGGTTCAGAGCTGCGGAGGCGCAGGAGGGGTTCACTGGCTGCCTAGCGCCCAGCCCAGAGCGGTCTCCGGCCTGCTCGCCATGGACCAAGACCGTATCCCCTCGACCCCCAGGGGCTCCTTCCGAAAGTTCCTCGAACAACTCTCCGGGGCCGGCAAAGCCATCGGCGTGCTGACCAGCGGCGGGGATGCCCAAGGTGCGCGACCGCCTCCCCGGGCTGGGGCGGAGGGGAGTACCGACCAGAAGGGATGGGGGAGCCAGGGAGAAGGAATGGGGGCCCGAGGCAAGCGATGGGAGTACCAGGTAAAAGAGAAGTGTGTGGGAGCAGCTCGGCGCCCAGGAACCGCAGGGGTACCTTCCGGGGGCGGAGCGGGCCGTACTACCCTCCGACTCACTGCGGAGGCGGGGGAGGGAAGGATATGGCCGCAGAATCCTTATCCGAAAGATCAGTTTTCCACCTCCACGTTTATTTTTTAAATTGAGGCTTGAGATGGGGTCGCCTGGAACGCCCTCATCCGAGTTCTAGGAAGGGGTCAGACGCCCCTCAGAAGCTGGGTTACAGCGAAGCCACCTCCGATGCCACGCCCCCTCTCCCGCCCAACGTGGTAGGACTCGTGTCCCCCACGCAGCGCTGGCAAGGTCCTTGCTGCTGATGGCGGGACGCTGCTTGGGGCGCGGGGGTCTCCGGCCACTGTTCCCGGGCGCCCGCCACAGCCTCTCCTTTCCGCTGGGAAATTTTTTTAAAAAGGCTTTCCACCGCCCTAATCTCCTGTCCCCTTAAGGCTCATGACCAAACCGAAAACTAAAATGGGTCACTAGGCCTCCCCGCCAGCCTCTCTGGAAGGGAAGGACCAGGAAGCGTGGACACCGGGACGTCAGCAGCACCGGTCGCGGACTCCATGCTCCCCACCCCCAACGTGGAGGCGGATTTCCGGGGGAGATCTGGACGCGAACCCGGGGACCGCGGACGCACCAAGAGAATATCTCAATTTAATGGGGGCAGGGGTGACACGGCCACGCCCGACAGGCTGGGTGCAGTTGGGGGCGCAGGGGTTCCCAGACTGTTGGTTTTCGGATCCAGGCAAATCTCTGGGTGGTGCGAGCCAACTGCTAGAAAGTGGATGTAGGTTTCCCAGGCAAATACGTCCTTGGAGACTTAAGGGTCAAGCTGGCTGGAGACGCGTCCCGGAGCTGGCGTTTGGTTTTTATTTTCCCCTCTGCCCCCCCCCATGAGTTCAGAGGTTCTGATGCCTCATTTTTACCTGTTTCCAGGCCACACCCGGCGGAGGGATGTTCGGGTGATGGGCCTGGCGCACTCGCTTGAGTCCACCCAGCCGGTGACCTTCCCTTTGCCCTTGAGCGGGGCGGGGCTGGCGCGGGTGCGGCAGGCTGGGGCGCTGTTGCCGCCTGTGGCGCGCGCCTACGTGATGCCGGGTCCGTCGCTGCCTGTGCGCCCTCATTCCTGGGCACCTAGTGCGTGGCGTGCCCAGAGCATGGGTCCCCAGAGCGTAGGTTACCGGAGAGACCCTCCGCGACCTATTGAAGGCAGCTATCGCCGCGCCAGCCACCGCCCGGGCCCCACAGGCCCGCCTTTGCTACAGAGGGAAGCAGGACTATTCTGATTTGGTATTTCTAGTAAAGTGATCCCAGGTACAAACATTCCAGAGAAAGAAAACGTTGATATAGCAGAGGCTGGGGTTGGGGAAATGGCAGAATGAAATAGATGACATTGCCCAGTTTCCTTAAATAAACACTGGAAGACATGCTTGGTGGGGTCGCGTGGGGTCATGGGGCTACAGTGGCTCTCCTGTCAAAGGCTTGAAAAGCATGTGTGTCTGGAGATGTTGGTACAAATGAGGAAGCATCTTAAGTGAATCGCATCCTGCGCCTCCAAAGAGAATATAAATCATTGGCACAGGGAGAGGAACTGGTCTTAAGTCTCCAGGCTTCGAGGTCAGAGTTTCAGGTTATTTTACAATTAAGGTATAATGTCTGTAGAAAAATGTCAAAAAATAAAAAAAATACATATATATATTTATTGGGGGGGGGTCATTCTTTTGAATGCTTGTCCCTAAGTTTGCCCAGCTACCTGTACTTGGTGCACAGGCACTCAGATGATGGTGCAACAGACAGAATCAGCACGTTCACTGGTTCTTATCCTGGCTTTGCCACCTGTGAGCAGTTCTAAGAGTTCACTAAGTCCACAGCTCTTCTCAGTGGAGAAGGATATACTCTGAGAACCAAAAATCTAGGAGAAGGTTGCTGGGTTGGTGTCCTGTCAGGTTAATGGGAGATGCAGTTCTTGCTTCAGTGGGTAACATCACATTTGATGGCCTTGCTCTCAACTGGCACATCTGGGCTGTCCTACATTCCTGGCAACCCACCCCAGCCGGTTGTCTGGGCATTTTCCCTCAGGCAGAGCTGAGGCTGTTGACGGTTTTTTCTTGGACTTGGTGCAAAGTGCCAGGCCTCCTGTTTTGATGTGATGTCTGAGCGTTTGGATGCACTTCTCTCCAGAACGCCCATCCTGAGATGTGCTCAGAGGCTCTGGCCTTGGCAGACACAGACCCTTAGAGTAGGTCATTCCCAGAGATGTTGTCTGTTGCCCACCATTCTTTCACCACTTTATCTGGATTCTAATACATCAATGTTGGGTTTCCCCCAGAAGAATTTTGCTCCCAGCTATAGAAGAAGGTGAGCATGCCCACGTCTGCATTTCCTGGTATTTTTCTAATCAGATGTGCAATTATGGTAAAGTGTCATGTCAAGGTGACCATGGCTGCTGTGTATCAGCACATTTTATGTGCTAGGAGTTTCATAGGTCTCACATTCAGGCTTAATCACATGGTTCCAAGACATGTGCATCTTCATTTTGGAGGTGGGGAGAAAGACCCACAGCGAGATAAGTGCCTTAGCTAAGGTTATGCAGCTCAGTGGCAGCGGCAGGATTTAAGCCGTTTTATGTTCTCTCAATTCAAGTACTTTCCAGTTGGTCATGCTCTTACGGGTCCCCTCTCAGGTGAAGTCATAAAGCCTAGTTATGGCTCCAAGATGGCCAAAACCTGACTTGCTCAGAATTATACAGATGACTTTTTGGCAGCTTTGTTCCTGAAACAGAAAACATCTTTTTACAGTGCTAACAGGCACTTTACAATAAAGCGATAGTGACTAAAGCTATGTAACACTTGATTCCAAAATGATGAAATGCTTTTTCCCCCAATGGAATTGATATTGTGTATTTATTTTTAAAAAAATCCCCTATCTATATTCCTGACTTCCCTAGCCACACCCATTAAGGAAGAGTATTTCTAAGGCTAATTCATTTTCTCATTCTTTGGTTTTCTTCTGTTATCGCAGAAGGAATCTGCAAATTTAAACTGATTTTCACTATAAGCTAAAATAGGTTTCATGTTGCCAGACAGACTTAACCGTGACTAAGTGCCTGCCCTCCAGCCAGACTGTGTCCTCACCAAAAATGACTCATCGCCTTAGACGGTGACTGTGGGCTTTAGGAGGCCTGGTACAGCTGGCAGTGCTGAGCAACAGGGGATGCTCAGGGCACACTGATGTGACAGCTGAGCTCTTTTCTGCCCAGGACAAAGTAAACCCAAATACAACCTTTCCAGAGAGTTCATTGAAACGAGCCTGTGTTGTCTCTCCATGAATAGGAAGGATGACTAACATTTAGGGACCAGTGCGATGTGGGAGATTCAGGTATTAACTCATCCTCATTTGACACATGAGCATGGGAGCTTTGAGATTAACCTCCTGTGCCTGGTGCATCTCAGCTCTGAGCTGAGTTCTGCTAAGTGGTCAGGCTGCAGTGGGAATGGGGGCCCGGGACACAAGTGTCATTCCCCGGTGCAGCTCTGGCGCCCAGCACAGCATGTGGCCCTTGCAGGCACTCAGCTGTTTGGTGACTCTCCATCCAGGCATCTCGTCAAGGAGTGCGAGTGCGAGTACTTCCTTCCACTGGGAGTTCTATTGTAGCTGTCTTCTTTTCTCATGAAGTTGTGTGGATGCATGAAACCTCCGCTGATCCAAAACAAAGCACTCTTACCTACAGAGCAATGTCTGGGAACCATGACCGTCTGGAGGTTAGAACTTTGAAACCCTAGTCAGCAATGGGAGGCTCTGGACGGGGCCCAGGTGCCAGGTAGGTCTTTCGCTGAACCTGTCTTTCTTGAACTCCACCTTGGGGCCCTGCTTGGGTTGGCTCCTTTTGTGCCCACCCAAAGCTCTGCTGGCTTTAGAGCCCAGTTAGATGCAAAGGGCAACTGGGAACAGTGGGCACCTCACCTCACACAACTCCGGGCTCCTTACCATCCTGGAACTCTACACATACACATTCTGTCATGGGATCTTCTCCATTTACAATGTAATAATTTAGCAAAGATTGTTGGCTGTAGAAGGCAGTGTGTTAGAATGATAGTGTTAACCCCAAGTGTGCCGCGGGAAGTCTGTGCAGTTGCATAGCTGTCTACAAATGAAGACATTATGTGAGCTACTCAGATGGCCCTTGGAAGCCAGACATCCTGTCATCTTTCAAAGAAAGCATGTTTTTCCCATTGGTGACAGGAAACTAGGAGCTTTGATATCGACCTGAAACCTCTTCTCAGGGAGAAATGGGGCCATTTGAATAAGCTGTACCCATCTGGTGGGCTGTCAAAAGCAATTACGACTAGAAACGTGAGGCAAGGGTAGCACTGTGCTAATGGCAGACACGGAAACACAAAATCGTCCATCCAGTATGATTGTACTTGTGGTGAAAAGCTATCTTTGGATACAAAACAGATGGCCATCTGTTAAGAAAGTGGTTTGAGTCATGCTTCCAGTTACTCTTTTTAATGGACTTCCTAGGGTGCTGTATTTTCCCAAGTGTCTGCCACCAGCCCTGTACCCCACTGTCTTCCCCACCGTCTACTTAACTCAGTGGAGATTAAAGCCACTGCAAGTATCAGGAGGGAAAAGGTGGCATTGCCCCTAGGGACCAGCACCCTGAGCACCAAGCCTTATTCACAGGGCCCTCTTTCCCAGGGCGTGGGATGGGGCCGAGGATTTTTCATTTGCAAAGTGAAGAAAGTGGAATCACTCGACTCCTGTCTCCCTCCTTCCCTCCTCCCTTTCCCCTCCTACATGAAAGGCTTCAGCCCACAGGAGGACAGGGAGGATGTGTGTGACACTGCCCTGGGCCCC